CAAAAATAATAAACTAGACTGTACAAATGTATGGTCATTTTATGGGAGAAGTAGGAATTAATGAGACCTTTCTTAAGGGAAAAGTCCGTGACATCATGGGGCTTCCCAAGGACTAATTGCAACCCTCCCCACAAGGGCCCTTTTTCTCTAGGGTTTTCAGTCCACAGCTCCCTTCTCTGGGAAACCTACATCTCTACCAAAGGAAGGGTCTTATCCGACCATTCACCTCAGTCCTCGTCTTGTCTTCACTTCTAGTACAAAAGAGCACAAGAATACATATACCGAGCTCCACTCTCTCACGAAATCCCATCGTGATTGACAAAAGGGAACTTTAAACTGAAGACATATTCCTGCAGGGATAGATTAAATGAAAACAACAAAAATTTTGAAAATGAAAGCAGATGGGAAGTGGTGACAGCCTTATGAGTTCTGAAAAGGCTGAATCTCAAGTGAGCGGCGGGGCTAGCCAAGAAGTAACCCCAACTACATTGCAGAATCTCAAAGCAGGGGGGAAAAAAAAGAGAAAAAAAAGCCTCAAGGGCCTTCTGGAAACTGGGGAAATGAACAGAATGCTAAAAATAGAATATCGGCTGTTAATCTGTTGACAAAACTTATTTTCTGCATTCCTGTGATACCCTAGGGTTTATTGCCTGTCATTTTCCCTCTCTGCAGGAAGCTGGAAGACGAGTCTCAGGAGAGGATAAAGCAGAGCGAGGGCCTGGTTGTGCTGAAATTGAGGGAGAGAATGGGTTGAAGAAGGCATGAAATTTTCTCCGCTAAGCCTGAAACTCCCAACCTTCCACCCACTCAGGTCTATACTTGCTGAGCAGCAAATCTAAAACAAAACAAGCACTACACTGTCGCACTGTCGCCCCATTGTTCATCGATTTGCTCAAGCGGGCCCAGTAACATGGTGAGACTTGTTGCTGTGTTTGGAATATCAAATACATCATGGGGAGCTTGCCAGGCTTTGCCGTGTGGGCAAGATACTCTCGGTAGCTTGCCAGACTCTCCCGAGAGGGGCAGAGGAATTGAACCTGGCTTGGCCAAGCTGGCCGCAAGCAAAGCAAACATCCTACTACTCTGCTATCACCCCAGCACAAAACTAAACAAGAATTAAAAAAATCTCTAGTGACTTTTATCAGCTTAAGAGAAAAAAATCTAAGAATATTGACACTGAATATTCACCATGGATATGACTCAGGAAGGTGACACTCCCTAGTCCAAGCAGGGCAACTCTGTCCCCTAATACTGAGGGTCTCATGGTCTGGGATTCAATCCCTACCAGGTCACTGGGAAAAATAAGGTTTGAAAAACATAATTGCCTACTTTGAGGCTCTTTAACTAGAACTTGTCAGTTTCCATATATTATCCTGGTCTGCTACTGATCTACTAACCCATAAAGGCTGGAGACAGAACAGCTTATAGCCTCAACAAGAACAAATACTTGTTATTCTGGGCTCTACTTGGGGTAAGCAAATTTTAGGTCATCCTCAAATTGGATTGGCCAACACACCAAACTATATGTGTTTCATAAATCCAAAAAAATGCATCAAATGCTATAGAGGGCCGAGGGCCAGACTAATAGTACAACAGCCACAGAGCTCTTGCCTTGCCTATGGCTGACCTGGGTTTGATCCCTAGCACCACATATGGTCCTCTAAACTTCAGCATAGAAATAAAAGAAGTCTTGTTCCTTAAAAAAAAAAAGAAACCAAATAAACACAATAGTTAAATGCAACATATAAAACCAACTGGGTTATGATTTTGCTTTTAAAATGATATTCTCGGGTAACTGATAAAAACCGAAAATAAAATTTAAGTGATAAGGATTTATTTTCATTCGTATGAAAATGTGCTTGGGCCAGAGCAATAGTATAGAAAGAGGGCATTTACCTCGCACACAGCCGGCCAGGTTCTATCCCCAGCATCCCATATACTCCCCAGAGCCCACTGGAAATGATTCTGAGTGCAGAGCCAGGAGTAAGCCCTGAGCACTGCCAATGTGGCCCCAAAACAAAACAAACAAAAATGTTATGTGGCTATGTAGACTTCTGTAGAGGGGGAGGGTGCTGGGGATTGAACCCAAGGTTTCACACATGTGAGCAAGAGCTTTCTGGCTGAGCTATATCCTTGGCCATACGTACACTATTATCAAAAGGGTCATGCTCACATGCTTAGGGCTGAAGCATCACTGGGTCTATATGTTTTCTAATATCAATGTGAAAAATGTGGTCAACAGTTATTTTGTGACATTCCTCTATGTGGTTGTATATATCTATAGTTTGGTAATTTTTATTGCTGTTTAGTATTCTATTGTATGAATATATCACAATTTTTTTAAGTTTTAAGTTGAGGTATTATGGATACATTAGCTTCATATGGATAACACAATGATTCATGATTTGTATATACACTATAATGTACCCATTTTTCAGATGAGAGACACCGGGATTACTTTCAGTTAGAGTTATTATGAATAAGAACTATGATGAATATCTATTTTTTACTAAAATTCTTGTCTCTTTTCTGGAGGGGGGAGGAGGTTTTGGTCACACTTGGCCATGCGTGGGTATTACTTCTTGCTCTGTGCTCAGGGATCACTCCTGTCAGGACTTGGGGACCATATGGTGCTGGAGACTGAACCTGGGTCAACCAAATGCAAGGCAAGTGCCAAGCCACAGTAATATCTCTCCAGCCTCTACATTCATGTCTCATGTATGTGGATTTCTCTTTGGTATATACACAGGAATAGAATTTCTGAGTCACAGGTATATCTATAACCAAACCTAAGAGAGAAAATTAAGGGGCTAGAGTGATAGCATAGCAGGTAGGGCATTTGCCTTGTACAAGGCCAAACTGGGTTCAATTCCCAGCATCCTATATGGTCTCCCGCGCAATGCCAGGAGTGATTCCTGAGTGCAGAGCCAGGAGTAACTCCTGAGTATCACCGGGTGTGACCCAAAAAGAAAAAAAAAAAAGAGAGAAAATTAAGCCTATTTTGCACCACATTTATATCAGGGGAGATATGATGATTATCACAATAAGGTTCAAGTACAAAATAAAATTTAATGTAATATTTTAGATGCCAGAGTTGAAAACTTAATTCTGTAAAGGAAAATAGGCAGTATACTATATTGCATTAAATTATTTGAATTTCCTTATTTACATAGGTTAAAATTATATAGCAGTTAATCACTATGAACGGGCTTTTGTTGATTTATCTCCTAACAATTCCATTTGTCATTTCTTTAAGTTTTGTTGTAGCAAGCAATATGAAATTAATTTGTTATATGTCTTCCAAGGAAGCAGGCTGGGGGATGGCAGGGACCCTGGGACAGTGGTGGTGGGTGGGATTGATATTGCAATGCTGTGTGCCTGAAATAATTCTATTATGAACAGCTTAGTAAACCACTGGGGCCTTAATTTTATATATATATATATATATATATGTATACATCATGATCACGATCACGACCACCCTGTTGTTCGTCGATTGCCTCGAGCAGGTGCCAGTAACGTCTTCTTTGTCCTAGCCCTGAGATTTTTTTTTTTTTAAAGTGCCATATTCAAGGCTTTTTCAGGGTTAGGAGAATGAGACCCATCATTGTTACTGGTATTTGGCATATTGGGTACGCCACGGGGAGTTTGCCAGACTCTGCCGTGTGGGCATGTTACATGTATACATATATATAATTATAGCCAAAAAAGATTCCCTTTACCGTTACTTTTAAAATTTTTAAATTTTTAAAAACTTTTAGGCACACCTGGTAGTGCTCTGGCTGCATGCTCAGGAATCACTCCTGGTGGTGCTCAGGAAACCATATGAGGTGCCAGGGATTGAACCGGGATTGGTCATGTATAAGACAAACACCCTTCTCACTATTCCTGCTCCCCCCTTTAAAATTTTTTATTTTAATGATTTTTTTTTTAAATCACCATGAGATACACAGCTACAAAGCTGTTCATGATCGACCTGCCACAACTTTTTTTAAAGCAGAGGCCGCACACAGCTACACTGGGTGGGTGGAGGAGGCTGCAGGGGACGATGGTCAGTTTCAGCAATGCTGGGCTCTAGAGTCCAGTGCTTAGTCCAGTGATAAGGGGATGAGCAGGGTCTTACTGATTGGTGCAAGGCTGTCACCGGGGGTTGCACCCAAAGGTGCCCAGGGACAATGCTAAATTTCAGGGACCATATTCAGGGACTGGGGTTGCATTCTGGCCCTACCATTACCTCTCTTTTACACACTGAGAGTGCATGGGGGGTTATTTGCTTGCCAAGGCGACAAAGAAAGAAACATGAATACTGGCAGCCTTGCCTAGAGTTTACTAAGTCACTCCCTCTGGCCACTTTGCTCCTTTCTCTTTTACATCAGGAAGCATTTTAAAAGTCTAGCTACGCATGACGTACTGAATACACCAAAACCAGTAACAACAAGACTCACAATTTGTTGTGAGACGTTACTGGTGCCCGCTTGAGCAAATCGATGAACAACAGGAGGACAGTGACAGTGAGAGTGACTCAAAAGAGGGAAGAGAGAAAAGCAAGTTTCGGCTTCTCTATTTGTTGAGAGGAAAAGTGTTCTCAACTCTCCCCTTCGATGTTTCTACAAGGTACAGATCGCTGAGGCTTCCCAAGCTACAAACCAGACACAACTGTGGCGAAAAAAGGAAAACCTTTCTGCCTGACTACTCATTTGGTATACCAGGAGAGAATTTTTTTTTCTTTTTGAGTCACACCCAGCGATGCTCAGGGGTTATTTCAGGCTCTACACTCAGGAATTACTCCTGGCAGTGCTTGGGGGATCATATGGGATGCTGGGATTTAACCTGGGTGGGCCGCGTGCAAGGCAAATGTCATACCCAGTGTAATATTGCTCCGGCCCTAACCAGAAAAGAATTCTTTTAATACAGAAAGTGAAGGAACTGCCTGCTAGAAAACAAGAAATCTGGGGTTAACTTACCTATGTGTAAGACTGACACACAGTAACAGCCAAACAGTCCTTCCCTGAAATATTTATTAAGGAATTTACACATACACAGGAGAAAGACAACCAGGAATTGAGGTTCCCACAGATGAGATCTTTTACGCCAAGTTTTTTTCTTTAATTTTCAAGTGAGATGAACAATGACGGAGAGGAAAGCTGTCCAGACTCCTTGCCCCAGACACCTGGGACAGGTGGGAAGACAGCGCAGCCCGGGGCACACAGGCATGACAGAGTGATGGGCAAACTGGGGTACGGGAAGAAGAGGAAAGGAGTGATCGAATGAGATTGAAAATATTGTTTTCAACTCTAAGAAAAACTGGCAACAGGTTTAAGCTGTTGGTAAATTAACTCCTCTCTGTTGTAAACCTAAACTTAAAAACAAAACAACAATCTCCAGAGGAAATGGGGAGAGTGGGAGGTGGACACACATACACACAGACAGACACAGACACACGCGCACACACACACACACACACACACACACATACGAGCAATACACACACTAAGCTCTGCGTTCCCGCTGGAGAGGCAGGCCCTTCGATCGTGGACCCAGATCCTACCACAGGCAGAGTGGAGGTGAGGAAGCGGAGTATGTTTTCGGGGAGCCTTCGTGAAGTCTTTGGTGCTAATACAGGCTGGTTGAAGCTGCACATCTCGAAGCCTCAGAAACAGAAAGCAAGTCAGGGCAGAGGATAGGAACATTTTTGCTCATCCTCACAGGAAGATGTGTTCCTCACCCCAGGGCTAGGGCTAACCTGATCTGAGAGATCCAAGGAGTATTTAATTTGACTTCAGCATTTTTCTTCATTTCCACACATCACGGAAGCATGGTGCCTCCTTCAACCAAAATTTAGATACACAGAAATCGCTTATTAACACACGGAGGAGGATCTCTGAACACTCACCTCTTGGTCTAAAACACAACACCTGTGTACCTTTCGGAGGTTTAACTTTGGGGGAAAGGGACGCAACGGCGCACACATTTCCCTCAGTTTAAACGCTTTCTCCAACACGTCCTCAGGTGCTGGTGCCAGGAGAGAACTGGGGCTCAGGTGGCAAAGGAAGTCAGGATGGCCAGGGGCACATGGACAACGAAAACGCAACAGAGAGGCCAGCATGTCTGGGAAGAGGCTGGGCTGAGCAGAATGCCAAATTCCAAATGATGAACTGCCTTGAGCAAGTTCTAAATCAAACAGAAAGAGGTAGGAAAAGGGAAAGGGGGTGGAGGAACTGGGAAAGAGGAGAAGGGGAGCGACGAGGCCAGCGTCAGCCGAACAGGAGCTTGTTTTTACTTCCACATTTGAGGGCTGAGAGTCTGATTGGCTGCCTGTCCGTTTCCGCTATTCATTGACTGTCCATAGTTTAGCATGCCGTTGGTTCCACAGAAGTTCATCCCAGCCATCTGCTGAGTCATCTGCAAGGGAGAGAGCAAACTTTCAGTTCAGGCTGTGGACATGCCACCAAGGCGTGCAAAAGGCAGGGGAGGAATCTTCCTGCTGGTGGGGACTGGGAGAAGGAGACAAGGGGGAACATGGTTAGGGTACATAGCTACCTTGAGCCCCAAGTGATTACTTGAAGGACCTCAGACCAGGAAAAGGCCAGACTTTTCAAAAGGGAGATGTTGTCGGAGACTAAAGCTAGACGATCCAGGCAGCATGAAACACTTTCCCTTCTACCTCACCCTTAGTAGACTAGGCCTACTGATAACGTGCCACAGCTACCCCTGAGACAGGGAAATCCTTGCACTCCATCTCCTGTCTTATTTCTAAGCTACTACTGGTATGAGGGGCTGGAGCGATAGCACAGCGGTAGGGCATTTGCCTTGCGCGCAGCCAGCCCGGCTGAGCCAGGTTCGATTCCTCCGCCCCTCTCGGAGAGCCCAGCAAGCTACCGTTAAGTATCTCGCCCGTGTGGCAAAGCCTGGCAAGCTCCCCATGATGTATTCAATATGCCAAACACAGTAACAATAAGTCTCAAAAATGGAGACGTTACTGGGCCTGCTCGAGCAAACTGATGAACAACGGGAGGACAGTGTTTGTTTGGTAAGAGAGGGAAGGTGCCAGGAGAAGACAGAGGTGTCAATTCTATGGGACTGTGAAGCTGAACCTCTTTATGAACGGAACAGAGAATCTGATGTCTGCCAGTGAGCAAAAGTAAGAATTACTCCATGAAACATGCCTTACAGGGGCTGGAGAGGCAGAAAGGGGTTAGGTGCTTGCCTGCCACTCAGCCAAGCCCTGGTCCTGACATTCCCCACCCTACCGGACCCAGCACTTGCAGACAGATGCTAGGAAGCCCCTGAGCACCAAACAAAACAACCACAGAATTCAGGCTAGTTATTTAGCAGGAAATCCTTTAATTTGGATTTATCCCATATTTTCTTTTATTGAGATTAACTAAATGTTTTACTTTATTTATTTATTTATTTTTAAAATTTTTATTAGTGAGACACCATGAGGTACAGTTGTAGACTTATAAATTTTTGTGCTTGGGTTTCAATTATACAATGATGAAATACTACAATGATCAAGTACCCATCCCTCCACCAGTGCCCTTTTCCCACCACCACAGATCCCAGTATCCCTCCCACCCCCCATCCCCCACAACCCACCCTGCTTCTGTGGCAGAGCATTCCCTTTTGTTCTCTCTCTCTTATTGGGTGTTGTGGTTTGCAAAAGAGGCAATGGGTGACAATCATGTTTGGTCTATAGTCTACTTTCAGCATGCTTCTCCCATCCTGGGAGGTATCCCATATTTTCAAGATTAGATTCAGGTCAAATCGTTTGGCACTCTCTTACTATGTAGGTGATTCTATGTCTTATCATTGAACAAGATGCAAGGAGGCTATGCTATGAATTTGTTCCACTGTTTGGTACTACTTTTATGTTTGATCACTTGACTAATAATTAACAATGTTTTTCACTAAAATCAATAAAATAAGCACTCAGAAAGATATTTCTTTGAGAAGATACAGCTATTCTATGTTTCACTATAATCATTGTCATTCTTTTCTAAGGAAAGCTTTCCCACTCTGTCCCATATCCATTAAAAGAAAAAAAAATATATATATATATTGTGTGTGTGTGTGTGTGTATACCCTAACAATGTTGACCCTTATTTCCTTCTCCCAATCACCACTAACAGGAAGATTTATATACATAAAATATATACATATTTATATTATTATGGGCTCACAGGTTTTTTTTCCTCCCTTCATCGTGCTGAATACATTAATACTTATTTTTTTTGCTTTTTGGGTCACACCTGGCAATGCACAGGGGTTATTTCTGGCTCTGCACTCAGGAGTTACTCCTGGCAGTGCTCAGGGGACCATATGGGATGCTGGGAAATGAACCTGGGTTGGCCGCGTGCAAGGCAAACACCCTACCCGCTGTGCTATCACTCCAGCCCCAATACCATTCTTTTTGATGTTCAAATAATTCCACCTAAGGCCAGTAAGGCCTCAAAAAGTAGCTAATGGGTCTTTTTTCTACATGTTCCCATCAATTTTATAGCGATTCATTACTTCATAAATAAAAAAGGAAAAAAGCAACTATGAAAGCTAAAAAAAGAGCAAAGAAAATCAAATGAAAGAAAATGGAAGGAAGAGTAAAGATAAACCAGAAACTGAGGTAGAAAATAGACCCAAAAAAATCAATAATCCAAAATCTAGGTTTTTTTGTGAAAATTAAATCTTTGTATCATAGAACAAACAAAAAAATGAACAAAACAGACTTGTTGCCTAACTGAAAAAGGAAAGGGAGGGAAAAAAAGTACAATTTAAAATTAAGAACTGACAAGGGAGAAATAATCACTGAAGCAGGTAATTTTAAAAATTTATAAGAATGGCATAACTTTTTTTTTTGAGAACGGCATAACTTCTGATAAATGAATTTGAAAACCCAGACAAAATGGATAATCTTGGTTAAATAGCTTTCCATAACTGACTCCCGTAAAAGAGAAAGCTATCAAATAATCCTTTTTTTTTTTTTTTTACTGTAAGAGAACTGGCTATCAAATAATTCACAATTAAAAAGCAAAAAGCCCACATAATTTTACCTGGGATTTCTACAGAATCTTCAAAGGATGACATTAAATACAGAGTATGTCAAAGACAGAAAAACAAACTTTTTAAAAATGAGGGCCCCAAGCAGTGCTATTCAGCTAACTATGCTGCCAGGTAGCTCAACGCTAGGGATTAGGGGTGCAGAGCTGACGGGGCGGTGCTGGGGACCACCAGGCTCACCCCTGACGGTGCTAGTTGCTCCCAGAGCAATTCCTGGTGGTGCAGAGGGGTCTAAGGGGCTATACCACAAAGTACTGAGAATAATACTTTTCATAAAGCAAATATGAGATTGCTATCTAAATCTGATAAAGAAAACAAAACAAAATAATAAATCTGATAAAGGTAGCGTGTGCGCACAAGCGTGCGCTACCTGTCTGGTGCTCCTTTGCCAATCTCTTCATTATTCTGAATCACTTTGCTTCTGTGTATGTTATGTATCGAGTATAAAGTTAAGCACCATTTTATGAATGAATCTGAACCCCCTTTCCTTTCCATAGAATAGCTGCCTATGAACATGACTGATGTGTTTGGTCCCAACTAAATCATATTTTCATTTGCTGTTTATTTTATTTGCAGAATTCCTACTCTTTATCTTCTTTGTTCTAACAGATTTGTGAGGCTGGAGCACGCTCTGTGTGGCCTCTGTGTGGCCCAATACTCCACAACCACCACCAAAAACTCTAAAGGAGTATCGTTTGTAAACTGCAAAGTATTATACAGAAATCTGTGATGACATTTTCATACATGAAAAGTGGTCTAAAACAATTAAAACTGGGGTCAGAGAGATAGTACAGCTGGTAGGGTGCTTGCCTTGCACGCAGTTGACCTGGGTTCAATTTCTAGCATCTCATATGGTCCCCAAGCACTGCCAGGGATAATCCCTGAGTGCTGAGCCAGAAAAAGCCCTGAGTACTGCCAGGTGTATACCAAAAACAAAAGCCAAACCAAACAAAAATTAAATAAGAAAAAATCCCAGTTGTGTTTAGAAAGTTTTTTGTTTTTGTTCTAAGTGATAATTTTTACACTAAAACTAACCTCCCTCCCTCCTTCCTTTCTCCCTGCCATACCTGCAATTTCTCAGGTTACTCCTGGCTCTGCAGTCAGGAATTAATCCTGGCAGTGCTTGGGGGACCATCTGGGATGCAGGGGATCAAATCTGGCAAATGCCCTACCCACTGTATTATCACTCTGGTCCCAACACTAAAATCTTTTGTCTACAGTCTTCTTTCTTCTTCTTCTTCTTCTTCTTCTTCTTCTTCTTCTTCTTCTTCTTCTTCTTCTTCTTTTTTTTTTTTTGCTTTTTGGGTCATACCTGGCGATACACTGAGGTTACTTCTGGCTTTGCACTCAGGAATTATTCCTGGCAGTGCTCGGTGCTCAGGGGACCATATGGGATGCTGGGAACTGAACCCGGGTTGGCCGTGTGCAAGGCAAATGCCCTACCCGCTGTGCTATCGCTCCAGCCCCAAAGTCTTCTTTATTCTTATTTCAATCTTCTACCCTTTGACTTGTCAGATTATTATGTCTTTTGACATCCAGTTATTTCCTATCCAACAATCAATTAATTTATTCCATTTTCCTTTTTCTCCTTTATTTTCACATTATTTTCAGTTGTGCTGGTTCTCTTTGTCAGAATACAATATATATTCTTCCACTTTGACATCTTTGTTTCAGTTTTATATTCTCAATGAACTATTCAATCATCATCAGTCCTTTTGCCAAAATGTCATCAGTCCTACATGGATTAAATTTCTCTTCTGGTAAATTCCTCCAGAAAGACTTGTAATTTAAAATTCTCTGGTATCTTGCAATTTAAGATTTTTACTTAATACCTGAAGGAATGCGTGGTTTTAAAATATGCCTCCTACATACCCTGAGTGTCTTAAAAATATTATTCTCATTTTTATCTTTTTGTATACTGCTATTAGGAAGTTGTGTGTGCAGGTTTCCATATAAACGATAGATTTCGATAGGTGGGATTGGGAGAGGGATGGAACACAGTTAATTTTTCTTAAATCGAAACATCTCTCATCTCCCTCTTTCTCTTCTTCTCCCCCTCCCTCTCCTTCCCTCCCTTCACTCCCCTAAGATTTAGGCAGTTACCTTTAGTCAACAGAAACCCAGAAATCCTCAGAAAGTCTGATTTACATATACCCTCTAGAGAAAAAAAGCTAACCCTATTAATATCTCTGGCATTCTCTCATTTAACCCGTAAGGAATCACGAAGTGGGACAGCTATGTGGAAGGCTCAAATGCCTGTCCTGGAGCTGGAGAGACAGTATGGGGGTCGGGTGCTTGCACAGCCAGGATTGGCACCTGATTACTACTGGGCTCTAAAACAAGACAAAACAAAACAAAACCCCAAACAGTTATCCAAGGAAAAGCGGGGAAGTTACCTGCGTAAGGTTCCACTGCAGCTGCTGCGCTGGCTGAACGCCGTACATAGTCTGGGGCATGGCTGCCACACCTGCCATGTAGCCAGCCTGCTGGGTGCTCATCATTCCGTTTGGCACACCCATCATTGATGCCTGCATGCCACCCATATAGCCTGCAGGCATGGGCATGGGGGCCACCATCCCAGAAGCTCCTGGCTGGGCCACCATGCCTACTGGTGGGGGCATCATGCTCCCCATGATGCTGCTGGGAGGTGTAACCCCAGGGAAGCTGGGATAGGCTGCAGGATATGCCATCTGAGCAGGAGCCATGAACATTGCTGCCAAGAGAACAGAGACAGCACTGATAAAGAGGGAAGGGCACCATCAGTCCAGACCCTCAAACTTCAAAACTGCTTTCTGGTGAGAATCCAGGCTCTCCAGACTATTTAACTCACAATGTTCTGCTACACAATAAAGGAATTAAACAAATTCCTTACAAGTAGGCCACTGACTTCTCTTTTTCCCTTGTAGAGTCTAGATCTAGACCTTGAGTCAGACTTCCCAGAGCCCAGAGAAGAAGTGGCTTACACAGAAACTATCTGCTAGTACTTTCAAGTACTGCAAGTACTTTCAAGAAACGCCCTTTCAGGCTTATTTGAAACACCCATCACAACCAATAAATCCTGTTCGTTTTAAGTCCTTGCTTCTGGCACACGGCCAGGATCCCATGAGCTCTACCTTGGGTGGGCATCTGAGGCGTCTGCGATCCATACAGTGAAAGGATGGAGTCTTTAGACAGCTGTTTCTTGCCTGTGTCTTCTGACTTGCTCCCTGGCTCTGGAAACAGGTTCAAGTTTTCAGGAACAGAGCCAGCACTCCCCGCCGTTGGCATGGAACCTACGACCTGTGGCAAAGAGGGCAGAGGAGAACAAAAGGTAAGCATTCCTTTGCAGAGATCCCCTCTCAGGTTGCTGATCCTTTAGAGGCTACAGTGAGAATTCAGAGTTTAGATCTGCACCACCACCCTCCCTTGCCAAAAAAAAAAAAAAATCATAGCTTGGGGCTGGGACATAGCTTAAGTGGAGGAACCCTGGACTTGATCCGACACTGAATGGCAACCACTCTGCCCCAGCACTGATAGAATGACCCCAGTGGCACCAGAGCACCACCAGGTATAGCTCCCACAACAAAATTAAAATAGAGACTTGGGAGATAGTGCAAATGGTACAGCTTATACCTAGCATATGTGAGGCTCTGTACTGGACTCCCATCATTGTATGGTTTCCCCCACCCCCCGCCAGCATGGCTGAGTACAGTTCTGGTTGTCCCTGGGAACAACTGGCAGTGGCCTCTATAAAAATAAAATAAAATTTAAAAAATAAAAATACAATAAGGGCCGGAGAGACAGCATGTTCTTTATATGTGGGAGCACATTCTTCATATGTGAGAGGTTGGGTTCAATCTGGGCACCACATGACCCCTAAGGTAATGGCACAAATGACCCTGAGCACTGCCAGGTGTGTGTCTCCCCAATTTTTAAAATAAAAGTCTAAGAGGCCAGAGAGACAGTATAGAGTAGGCAGGGTGCTTGCCTTGCACATGGTCAACCCAGGTTTGATCCCCAGCATCCTGTATGATCCCCCAAGCCCAACCAGGAGTGACTTCTGAGCACAAAGCCAGGAGTAAGCCCTGAGAAACACCAGGTGTGGCCCACACCCCACCCCACCCCACCCCCAAATAAAAAACAGTCACAGCTTAAATCAATAGCTTCCAACATTTTAAGCATATAAACTTTTCTGGAACTAATGTGACTCTTTCTATAAAATATGCACTTTAGAGGGTAGTGGTAAAGATTTCAATTATAAATAAAACACACACAGTAATATTTAAAAAAAAAATCACACTGAATGGGGTACACAGTAGGTATTCCACAAAGGGTCGTGATGAAAAGACCCAAGTCTTTCATACCTACAAATTATCTAGCAATAACTCATGCTTATGATCTAACCTAAAGAATTCTCCTTTATGATATGACACAGTTTCGTGAGAATTTCATTCAAAGAACTCACCATTTGGGGTCAGGAGACAAAAATAAATAATATGACATGAGGTTAAGGGAAGAATCAAGAAATCCAGCCCAGGGGCCAGACCAATAGTACAGCAAGTGGGGTGCTTGCCTTGCACAAGGTTGACCTAGGTTCAATCTCTGGCACCCCATATGGTCCCCAAATTCCACCAGGAGTAACTCTTGAATGCAGAGCTAGAAGTAAGCCCAGAGTACTGCTAGGTGTGACCCAAAACAAGGAAGGAAGGAAGGAAGGAAGGAAGGAAGGAAGGAAGGAAGGAATCCAGTCCAGGGATGAAAAGATAGCTCAAAGGACTGGAGGCAAGGGTTTGCTCCCAGCAAAGCATAGTACTCCGAGCACCACTAGGAGTCACCCCCCATGCACCCAGCCAAGAGTAGTCCCAAGTACCACCTCGGGGCCAAAAACAAACAAGAAAAAGAAAATAAGAAGACGAGTTTAGTTCCTCCAAAGAAGCATGGTTTAGCCCCAGGATTAAGTTATCAAAACCATCCTTTCTTGGTGCTCTTTAATTCTAATGAGCTGCAAAGACTCACCTTTCTTGAAACTGAAGAAGATGGGGATGGAACCGAGGCCAAAAGATCTAAATCTCTCTCTAATGTATTGCTGGTCTTACTACTTGAAATGGAGCAAGCCACAGGAGCATCTGCAGAGATCCAAGTTAAAATGCATCACCGTTCAGTAAGCCCACACCTGCCTGCAGAAGGCTCCAGCTCTCCACTAAGGGAGTTGAAAATGCAGACATACGGAACCATGGAATTTGGATGGGCATCTCAGGAGGCTTTACCCCAAACTCCCTAAGGTGCTGGAGAGTCTAAGTGGTCCCCTGTCAAACAAATGTCAGCAGAAACCCAGCCCCGAGAGGGACAGCAGCCCCACAGCAGGAGGCTGGCTGGCTTCCTTCCAACTATCTTTAGGGCCAAGAAAGCAGTGTGGGACTCATTTTTGGAGAAAAAGGAAAGGTACAGAAATTAGAAACACAAAGCTGGAGTTATAGTACAGTGGGTAGGGTGCTTGCCGTGCACCTGGCCAACCCAGGTTTGATCCCTGACACCTCATATGGACCTGCCAAGAGTGAGCCCTGAGCACCACTGAGTATGCATGTCACAGTAAGTAACTCTTTAGAACAGCTGCGGAGATTCAGGAGGGACACAAGAGAACAACCTAGTGACAATGACAAAGACAAAGGGAAGAATCCTATCTTACTGAAGTCAGAGAGAATTCATCAAAATGGGAAAGATGATAGGAATGGGAAAAAAATCTAACTCTTACCAAGGCCCAACAAATCCATGACAGGTGCTGTCGATTTCGGGGAACTTTTCCGAGGTAGCTGTGGATCTTCTTTTTTCTGGGGCTAAGGTGAAAATACAGTATAGGAAAAAGTAAACAGGTGTTTCTGAATCCCTTTCCCCTTGCCACTGTAAAGCCACAGTCTAGGGACACACTAATGGGGAGAGGTCTCTACTTCAAGTCACAGAACAAGAACACAGAATCGGACTGCTTAAAACAAAACATACTGGCCCGTCTTTCCAGACTATTAATTTTGTTTTGTTTTTGTTTGGGGACTGCTCCTGGCACTGTATTCAGGGGTCGCTCCAGGAGGTGCTCAGGGGGACCATCCAGTGCCGGGGATTGGACTCAGGCCTCCTGATGTGCAAAGCGAGCACTCAGACCGCTGAGCTCTGTCTGGCCCCATTCTTTATTGCAACAAGACAAAGGGGCACAGAAAGCCTAACATGAGAAGGGCTAATGGGGAGGCAGCATCTGCTCAGAAGGTGACATACATCCTTAGCAGTCTGGCATGGAATATGCCTCGAGCGCAGATGAGACAGATGCCGTTCCCAAGTTCCCATCTGGTTCCTAAGAGAAGTGTTAACAGAGCAGCTTAAGCAGCAGCTATCAGGCAACAGGAAAGAAGCAGAAATGGCCACAGACGAGCGAATTTAAGTGTGGAACCCTTTTCTTCCAGAAGCAATAGCACAATAATCTATCAACCCCACCCTTCTAGATCGGAGGCCTCTCAACCCTTCCCTCCCCACAGACACACCTGAGGCCATGCACACAAACACAATTACCCACTCACCATTTTAACTTTCTCAAAAACAACAGGTTCCATTTTCTTCTCTGAAGCTGATTCACTTCCTCTTTTCCACTTGTCATCTTTTTCTTTCTATATTGATGAACAAAACAAGAAAAAGGACACAGGCCCCACAGTGACTCACAGGTTCATGAATTATAATTCCAAACAGTCACAGAAGACACACAAAATTCCCATGGAATATAATGCAGGAGTCTGACAAACCTGCCACATGAGAATCGATCATTTCCACATTAGTCTCAATGTTATGTCCAAAGCATCCTTTAATGACATTAGTGTCATTTCAACACTCCTTGTGGAAATGACACTAATGTCTCTGGAAATGTCTGACCTACTCTATATGCAGAGTTTAAAATGTGTTTCCAGGGTCAGAGAGAGAGAAAGTTGAGAGTTTAAGGCTTTTGCCTTAAATCCTGCTGACCCCAGTTCAAATCCTTCGTATCACATATTCCTTGAACACCACGAGGTTTGCCCCCCCAAATTTTTTAAAATAAGATAAATAAAATATATCATCCATTTGATGCTACTTTATCATGCAAGTTTAACCTGTTTAAGCTTTGAATTTATTCAGTAGTTCATGTTCATCTTAGTTATATACTGTGATTTTACTATTTATTTATATTTTTGGTGCTCAGTGGTTCTCAGGGCTAACTCCTGATTCTGTGCTCGGGAATCACTCCTGGCATGCTTGGGGATCATACTGGGTAACAGAGATCAAACCATGTACAAAGCAAGCACCCTATCTGCGTATCCCTATACTTACTGACTTTTGAAATGCAATCATAAGTTCTCTCAATTTGGGGAGAAAGGTTCCCCAGAAATGCTTGGAGGACTGGAGGCCATCCCAGTGATAATGAACGTGGCTGTGTGGCCTGGTGTTCAGCCCAAATGAGCTGGGATTCAACAGATGTACCTCCCCGCTGCCGAGTGTTCAGGGATCACAGGGCCACACCTAGAGATGCTGGTGTGTGTGTGTGTGTTTGGGAGGGGGGGTGTCATGCAGGATCGGCAATCAAACTCAGGGCCTTCAAGCTCAGGGCCTTGTGTTTCACCCCTCTGAGCTATATCCCTGGCTCCAAATTCTCTCACTCTTTGTCTCTTTTAAAAAATATATATATCAGAAAATAAGGACTGGAGAGAGTGTATGCTGGCAAAGTCCCTTACCTTGATTGTGGCTGACTAAGGTTCAATTGCAAAACCCCAACCCTGCCAAGAGCGATCCCTGAGAACAGAGTCAGGACTAAGCCCTAAGCATAGAGGGTAAGGTATGCGCTTACCCTCCCCCCACCAAAATAAAAATCAGAGACTAAAGCTTTAATACAAAACTATAAGATTAGAAAAACAATTCAAAGGAACTAGGTAACAGAGACTTTAAAGGGTTAAAGCATCCCTTTTAAAATTTTCGAATAAGTCATCTGTATAAAACAGAAACACAGGGGCTAGAGAGAGAGCTCAATGGGCTAAGTCCATGCTTTGCCAAGCATGTGTCAGGCCCGGGTTTGATCCCTGGTCCGGCATGACTTGGAGCAACCCCTGAGCAAAGAGAGAGGAGTAGCCCCCAAGTAGATCTAAGTACCCTTAAGTACAATCAGGTGTGCTCTTCCAAAAAAATTCAAAATAAAAAGTGACATAAACTATATAATTTAAACTACTAGAAAGTTTCATATTTTTGTCATTTCAGAGGCAACTTCATAATACTTCACCATATTATATTATTGGTTTCATGTTTCAACATCAAATGTTTTCAGAGGTTCCCAGAGTTATCTGGTCTACTGCCCCACTTTCATAAACAAAACAAAACAAAACAAAAAAACACCCCCTAGGAATGTGCCTTCCTTAACCAAACAAAGGACCCACCATCTGCAGCCAGGACTACCAACCCCTCACCATTGTTCCAGCTCGCCCTGGGGGTGGGGCTGGACCTCCAGCTTTGGGAAGGATAATTGAGATGAAAAATAGAGCCACAAAGTGGATTTAAGAATACAGGCCCCAAAAAGGAAAAGAAGGCATATATATGAAGAATGGTTCCATCTTTCTAATAATTATACAGAAAAGAGGGACTCCACCATTATCTATAGTGATGGTGTGAGAAAGCATGAATTTTCCACTGAATTTTCAGTAAAATGATATAAGTATATGAAACTATAAATGTACCTATCTAATACTTTGTTGCATCTAATGTCTGTGGTGCTCAGGGGCTACCCACTGGCTCAGTGCTCAGAGAACCAAATGGAGCAAGAGATTAAACTCTGGCTTCCTGCATGCAAACATGTGCTCAAGCATGTTGAACTGTTTCTCTGGCCTAAAGTGTGGCTCTTTGATACAGAACAATTCTTGAAAATGCTTTGTTCTTTCCATTAAAAAAAAAAGAAAGAATACTTTAGGGGCAGGATAGTACAGGACAAGACACTGGCCTGATATGAAGCCAAACTTGATTTAATCCCCAGAAACACATATGGTCCTCTGAGCTTGGCCAGGAATGGCCCCTAAGCACCACCAAGTATTTCTCCCTGACAAAATAAAGAACACTCTATCAAGCCATTTTTTAAAATCTGGTATTTAATGACTTCATTTAGTGTTAATTCTTGGCATATAAATGTTCACAGGAATATATGTCTATATATGTGGGTGTTTGCACGTGCCCGCCTGTGTATGTGGTGCAAAGAACCAAACCCAGTTCTTATACATGCAAGATATGTGATCTGCCATTGAGCCATATGCCAGTTCCAAAAGATTCCTTTATTTTTTTGTTTTGTTTTGTTTTCTGTGGTCTAGGGATTGAATTTAGGGCCTCACACATGCCAAGACCAGTGCACTACCACTGATATAACCCTGAACCAAGGGTTATGTTTTTTAAATCTAAATATATCAAATAAATCATTTTAAAATAGTATCTTGGAGAGCCAGGAGATAGTCCAAAGCCAGGTACACACGCTTTCTAGATGGAGGCCAGGTTCTATCGCCAAAAGCAGTGCCTGCAGTAGTACCTCTGAGCATCACCAGTTGTGGTCAAAATTCAAAATCCAAACAGTTTTTGCAAACGAGAGGCAGTTTGCTCCTAAATGAAAACGTCCTGGGAGTCAAACAGACTGTTTTCATGAGCACAGTACCCCTGTGAGCAGACACTCTCTTCATTAAGCAACTCTTCCCTCCTTCCCCATTCCGTTACCGCATTCCGTTTCTCTTATTTCATTATCTCAGGTACAGTGAATAAAGCTAAGTCAGAGAGGACACAGATTTCAACAAATGAAAGGGAATGTGTGTGCTTTGTGCTTTGGTTTCAAACTGTTTTTAATGATGACCTCCAAGCTGAAGCTGCCCGTTTGGGTTCATTATTTTTTGGAACAGCTCCCATAACTTCAGGTGTCTTATCTGGATGACTGCGAGGTAAGAGAACATTATATAAGTTGAGGGGTGAAATTATCTTTATTTAATTACATGTTATTGTGTTGCGCTTACTTGCCTTCATGGATAATCACCTATTGGTTTATGCTCTTTTCACATACAAGTATAAAAGATCAAGTAGTAGCTCATTTCAATTAATTTGACTTCAAATTAACTGGAAAGGCTCAGAGCCCCGTGCAAACTTAGTGATTTTACTGGCTTTTATGTTCACTATTAATAAAATTAAAAAAAAAGATAAATCGACAGATTGGTAGGTAGATACTAAGACAGATAAGATCTACTTTAGAGGGGCTGGAGTGACAGTACAGCGGGTAGGGCATTTGCCTTGCTCGTGGCCAATCCAGGTTCGATTCCCAGCATCCCATATGGTCCCCCAAGAACTGCCAGGAATAATTCCTGAGTGCAGTGCCAAGAGTAACCCCTGAGCATCGCTGGGTATGACTCAAAAAGCAGGAGAAAAAAAATCTACTTTAGAACTGGAGAGTCCCATTCTCTACACTTCTGTAGATAAGTAACCAATTAAATCATTTCTATGTAAATCTATTGTACCATTTTATCAAAGGTTTCTTAAAGGTTTCCAAATGGTCAAGTTTAGTGGTCTCCATTAGTTGTCAACGGCCAGGCTTATTTTCTTCTTCCAGAAACCATGTGGTTTTAATAACCCTAGTTATCATATAATGCGTGATGTACTACATTTCAGATCTTAACCACATACATGGGATGGAAAGTGTACTTGGCAACTGGTGGTCTCTGACCCTCCCAGGAACAAGGGTCCCACTGATAATCAGCCCGTGCACTCACTGGAGACATACAGCAGTCCAACGGAAGGAGACTCTGGTGACGTGATTACACCTACATTTCCATTTTACTTCATTTGTGAGGAAAAAAAACTAGATGCATGCACAAACACACATATTCATACACAAACATGTTATTCTATTTGGGCTGGGGTGTCCAACTTTTCCATTTGAAGAAATAATTTGGAACTGACAATCACTGACAATCACTAACATCTAAAGAGACACTGAGGCAAACAAAGCATGAATTTGCTCGGTCTCTCCAGGAGTCAGTTCCGTACATCACGGTCTTGATTCATTAACTGGCTTTGTGTCACTTTTAAATAATGATTTGAGTATCTGGGCAGCCATTACTTATACTGCTCCTTTCCCTGATTAACACGAATTTCTTATTACGAAGGAAAACGTAAAAGATTTACGACCAACCCTAAGCGCATTGATGTCCAAACTTCGGTCCATGTATTTCTTCTTCTCATATTTATCTCGAATAAATCCTTCGACAGCTCTGCAAAAAGCTCATTAAGGATAATTCAAACACATATTCCCCATGTGACCACAAAAGGTCACTTGATATCCAATGGAATGTTGTTCTCCGCTTCCCCTCCAGCCTTCTCTCTCACAGGGCTCCTCTCTCTTCACATGCACTTTCCCTAACCACTGCCTTGAAATGTTTTGCTTGCAATTACTGCAGGGAATTCATTTAAAACACCATTTCCTGTGATTTTCTGTCAAAATAATGATGGGATTAACATTCATACTGGTATCAGAGGAGCCTGTGATTGTTCTAGAATGCAGGTTTCCTCCATATCTGCAAGGAGAATGATGTGAGAACTTATAATTTTTTTCCATGCAAATTAATGGCAGTAGCATTGCCAGGCTGCCAAAATACTGCACCAAATCATACCAAACAGAAAAACTTCTACTTTCATATAGCAGGGGAAACCTGTATAGGTAAAGCAGTCATTTTATCTATTTTAAAGCTCTTAGGTTCATTAGGTTTAAATGAAAGTACACGAACAACCCTTACAAAAGATAGTCTGTATCCCACTGCCAGATTCTGATCACTAGGTCCTCCAAATCTACATTTTCACAGGTTCTTCCTGCTAGCTACAAAAAGCAACCTCTAAAAGATGGTCACAAACCACATTTTGAGAAGCTCTCATTTAGAGCTGGCTTTTTCTCTTGAGGGATACAGAGAGATTACTGGTATTTAATAGTTGTTAATTTTTCCCCCCAGCACTAAGAAATTAAAAGCTGGTTTTGCTGAAAGTACAGCAAATTATTCCTTTATCCAAACGATTAATTCTTTTTGAGATAAAAAGAATTAAAAAAAAGCACCTGGCCCCCTGGCGCCGTGTAATCCCATCAGCGGCCAAGACTCAGAGACTATAAAATACAGATCCCGGACGAGAACAGTGCAGTCTTCTGCCCCCGCGCCTGGGTGTTCCTTCCCGGAGCATTCGCGGCCGCGCGACATCTCATCATAACTTTTTTTCTATGACATCTTATTGTCTCATTCCTACTTTGGACAAACTTGCAGGCTATCAAATGTAGCCTGCCCACAGGGCAGAGTCTGGCAAACTCCCCGTGGCGTACCAAATATGCCAAACACCAGTAACAATGATGGGTCTCATTCTCCTAAAGAGCCTTGAATATAATCTCAGGGCTAGGATGAAAGAGACGTTACTGGGGCCTGCTCGAGGCAATCGACGAATAACAGGATGATGAAATGAAAATGAAATGAGATAAAAATATTAGAAACATCACTTTATGGAAGACCTCACAATGAGCCACTTGGTGTGACTAATTCTGACTCGTCTTGAGTGTGTGTGTGTATGTGTGTGTGCGCACAACACCACCATTCTGACTTTAGAAAGTACGCACATGCTTTTTTTATAAGTCCCGGCTGCAATAAAGAGGAAAGATAAGACTCTGACGAATCCACACGGAGATGATTCAGTCAAATCATGGGTCTTGAGACCTGTGTGACTCTACTGAAACACTAAAATGCCACCCAGTCTTCCAAGTTGCTCCAGAAAAGATACGGATCTATTTGAGGCCGCCGAAATGTCTCGGGAAGGTAAGCTTCATACAGTCGATTCGCCTTTCCATTTCCCATTTCTTGCATGCACTGCAATCAGAGAGATACAAGACACATGGAATGTCAGATCGGGAGAGAACTGTAAAACTTCTTATCTAGTGGCTGCATTGTACAACTGAAGAACCAGCCTGGAGATTGGCTACTTAGAAAAAGCCTAGATTTTAAACCTGTATATTCTGATTTCTGATATAGAGCTCTTTTTGCCCCAACCATTTGTTCCAAAAGTTACTTTCCTCTCTTCATTCATAAGTTTCTCATATTGAAATATGTGGCAGATGAGACATCACTTAAGATTAAGTCATCACTTAAGATTCCACTGGAAACTCCAAAATACATAATTATCGAACAAAAAGTCTACTTGTGGGGCCAGATAGCTAGTACAGTGGGTTAAGCCCTTGTCTAACCCACGTGGCCAACCCAGGTTCAATCCCCAGCATTCCATATGGTCTCCTGAGTACTGCCAGTAGTGATTCCTGGTGCAGAGCCAGGAGTAACTCCTGAGCATTGTCAAGTGTGTCCCAAAAACAAACAAGTCTACTTAGACAGCAATAATTAGTGCCAAATAAGGCAGGCAATAATTACAATTCCTGATCATTTATTTTGCTAGGTTTTTGGGCCACACCTGGTGTTACTTGGGATTACTCTCAGTTCAGTGCTCAGATACTATTCCTGGTGGTATTCATGGGCCCATGCTGTGCTGGATATCAAACCTAGGGCACCCAAATGCAAACCCTGCACTTGAGCCAGTTCTACTATTGAGGGTTTTTTTTTTTATGGCCAAGGAGGGGTGTAGACTTGGGCCTATTCAAGGCTTTCTCCTGGCTCCGTGCTCAAAGATCACTGATGGTTCTCAATGGACCACATGCAGTGAGTGATAGGGATCGAACTGGCAAGACATGGACAAGGTAAGTCCCCTTAACCCCTGTACTATTGATTTTCTTAAATCTCAAATTGCTAAAACCTTCCAGGGAAGGCACTTCCCTCCAAAAGACTATATAAACCAAGTAATTTAAAAAAGGTTTTTGACTATTAACAAAGCTATAAAAAATAGTCTATTTCTAAATATATGTTTTGGCTACGAATAACTTTGTTTCCATCACCAACTTTAGCAATCAGTTTTTTTCTAAGCATCTGCACATTCCCCAGCAACTGCCCCCCAAAAGGAAAAACAATTTAAAATTATTTTCGTAAGTTTCAGAATAAAAGGATGGGGACATAACTCAAAGGGCTGGAGAACATATTTTACATAGGGGCGCCCTGGGCTAGTTCCTTGGCACTGTATGATCCTCCAAGTATTCTGGAAGCGACCTCTGAGCGCTGTCTCTAAGCTCCTCCAGATGGTGTCCCCCATATACAATGTTCAATATTGGAAGAGAATAGAGAAAGATGAAGTCACATCAAGTACACATCTTAGGTCAGCTGAACTCACCAACTTAAGTGTTTCATTCCCAGTCTACCAACCTAATAGAAAGCAAGATCTATACAAGCATTTTAGCAAAACATAACTTTTTAGCATAAAAAGTCTATCACTTGAGGATGTTCTTATGATCTGGATATTTAGATTACATTCTTATCTAAAACCACAAGTGTTGGCTGGAGTGACTGTACAGCAGGTAGAGCATCTGCCTTGCACACAGCCGACCCGGGTTCAATATCTGGCACCCAATATGGTCACAGAGCATCACCAGGAGTAATTCCTGAGTGCAGAGCTAGGAGTGACCCGTGAGCATTGCTGGGTATGGCCTACAACCCAATAAATAAACAATAAATAAATAAATAAAACTATAAGTGTTAGATCTACAAGTGCTAATAAGGATTCCGGAAAAGAATCCGAGGGTCCCCTTTTAGACCTTCCTACCTCCACAATTCTTATCCCACAGACTCCTCTGTGTTTGAAGGAGGAAAAAACATATCGGAAGAATAACTTGTAACCCAAGCAAGAACTTTAAGCATCTCTCTACTAACATATCAGAGCTTCACATAAGACTTAAGATCTTCACATAAGATCTTTTGTCTAGTTTGACAACAGTTCTTCTGTAACTACTTTCAAATGGAACATGGAAGCTGCTCAGTCACGCCTGGGCTATGGACATACCTGAATCTGTTCTTGAGTCCACTGGTCGAGGTTAACTGATTTTACCCTGGATATATGCACTCCTAGATTTCTGTGAATTCCAGCACATCGAATGCAGATGAACACACCAATGTTCCAGGAGGCCCATCGTGGCCCTGTGAAAATCAGGAACAGGACAAACAGTACAAATTAAAATAATATTCAAGGCCTGAGCTAGAACATTAAATCATAAGACAACATTTTCATTAGAAAGTAACAAAAATTGTCACCACAATCATCTTTCAGCTAATTTTGCTCATTTTTTTTTCATGGAGATCACCAGGGTTTTTTTTTTTTTAAGTTTAAATTTTTTAAAGTGCAACTACAATGGTTTTTAGTATGTTCAAACAATTGTGCAACCATCACCTCTAATTGCAATGCATCTTCATAATCAAAAAGAGCCAGACACAACAGGTGACACTCCCCATTTCTCCCAATTCCTCCTCTCTAAACCTTGGCAACCACAAATTTACTTTCCTTTTCTACAGATCTGTTACTTTTAGGCATATTAGAAAAATGGAATCATACAGTATATGGGAATTGACTGTGTAACAGCTTTTCACCGTATATGATGAGTGTTAAAATGCTGCCACTGTTAAAATGAGTGTTAAAATATTAATACTGCCACTTAAATAAAGAAAACTTCCAGGAGAACAGTGTGAAGAAAACTTCCAGGAGAACAGTGTGAAGCCATGTCACTCTCCATTTAGTAGTATCTTGATGAATAATCAACCTTGAGAAACTCTTTCAGGGTTGTGGGGCCTGGATACAGTTTTCCTACCAGGAAAAATGATACAGACATGCCAGCCCAAGGCTCTCCCTGAAATTTAAAACTTCTTTTATCCTCCCCTCTCTACCAGACACATAAAAAATGCATCCAGATAAACTTAATAGGATCCTTTCCCCTTGGGATGATGTCCCTACTTTACCCAACAACACGACTGTCCAGATTCAAGCTGTCAAATATAATGGTGCTTACTGTAATAAAAATCTGAGATGTATGTTAATTAAAAAAGAAAACTCCTCAGACATGCTCTCCAATCTCCTAGCAACTTATCTCACCTTAATAATCATTCTAGAAAATAATCAAAGTCCACTCAATAATTTTTATGTGAGGAAAAAAGCAACTTTCTTTATAACATCTACCAAAAGTAATAAAAAATCTAATACTTCCTATCTCATTGTTCCACTAGACAGAAATTTGCTACATAAAATAAACACGATATTAAGTGAGAGGCTGGGAAGCTCGGGATGCAGCTCATCAGTAGAAGCCCAATCATCAAGCCCTGTGTTGAGTCACTGACACCCAAAAAAAAAAAAAATAAAACCCAAACCAAAAACAGGGCCGGAGCCATAGCCCAGTGGGGAGTACTTGCACGCGGCCAGCCCAATCCCCATGTTCAATCCCCCAGGGTCCTGTATGGTCCCCTGAGCAGCACCAGGAGTAATTCCTTAGTGCAGAGCCAGGAGTAACCCCTGAGCATCCAGGTGAATGACTGCCACTCCCCACCAAAAAAGAGACTGATTTTCTATAGAGATAAACAAGACCCATAATTAGAACAACAAAGGGCACAAATTCAGTTCTTGGTTGATCTGCAGATTTTGAAGGCAATTTTTCGTTTGGGGACCACACCCAGCTGTGCTTAGAGCTGGCTCCTGGCTCTGCACTCAGGGATCACTCCTGGCCGGTTCGGGGGAACCACGTGGGGTGCCAGGGATCGAGCCTTGGTTGGCCCTACCTGCTGTGCTCTCTCTCCAGCTCCACCAGAGGAATTTTAATAGCCAGAATCACATGTCAAAAAAATTACTTTTTGAAATCTGAATTCAAAATCATTATAAATCAGAATGTAATTTTTTTAGGGTCAGAACAGGTACAGCAGGAAGGGTTTGCCTTGAAGGTGCTGCCATAGGTTTGATCCCCAGCACCTCATACGGTCCCCTAAGCCCTCTAGGAGTGATCCCTGAATACAGAGTCAGGGTAAGCCCTGAGCACTGCTGGGTATGCCCCAAAACAAAACAAGAAACTTTTTGACAAATACATACCACGGCAAAAAAAAACTATATATATGATATATATCATATCTATATATCCAATTCTCCACTCCCATCAATATTCAGTCAGGAAGTATGGGCTTAATGGTCCAGTGGTGAGGTACTGTTTGAACCTGGAGTTGCGGTGGCACATTATGTCCTGGGGGTGGGGGGGCATTAAGGGATGGAGGACCGTGTAGTACTGGGACTCAAACTTGGGCCTCATGTATGCCAGGCAAGCACTTCGGACCTTGGAGCCTCAAATACTTTCATATTGTGATTACTTTGATAGTCTCAGACTTATGTTCTAAAAAGACCTTCCATTACTCTAAGCCCCTATACAGATTCGTACAGTATATCTGCCTACTGCCACACAGTAGGTCTGTTTATAGTTAATAAACAAATGATTCACATATTTCTTTCAAATGATAAAGAATTACAAAACAAGATAGTTATATAAACAGAATATACCTAAACAGATTATAAATTAGGTTTCTTACTGCTATATGCCTATTTTAGATTATGATTTCATAAAGAAACTTAGTATCTAAGTTCACTTGATCACTGGACATCCCATTACTCATCGATTTGCTTGAGCGGACACCAGTAACATCTCCATTCGTTCCTGTCGAGACAGTACTCATCTAAGTTATAGAAGATTAAAAAAAAACGGACAGAGCCAAGCAGGTAACTCCAACAGCAGAGCACATGCCTTATCATGTGCAAGGCTTGGGGTACAATCCCCAGCAGTGCATGGGCCCCCCAAACTTTCGGGTGTTTCCCGAGCACCACTAGGTGTGGCTCCTCTAAAATTAAAAAAAAAAAATTGGACCTGGGTGTCAAAGGAGATAGCTTCAAGATTTGGAGTTCCATGGTTGGAAGGCTGCCTTATGAGCGGGGGTAAGGGCAGCTGGGACAGAGAAGGGATCACTAAGTCAATGATGGCTGGAGGGACTGTTCGGGATGGGAGATGTGTGCTGGAAGTAGATAAAGGACCAAACTTGATAGCTTCTCATAATGCTCATAAGTAGAGAGAGAGCAAGAGGGAAATTGTCTGCCATAGAGGCAAGGGGAGAGGTGAGACGTGGGGGAGGGGGGCGGGGGGAGAGATGGGACGTGGGAGGGGGGTGGGGGGAAAGAATACTGGGGACATCGGTGGTGGAAAATGTACACTGGTGGAGGGATGGGTGTTCGGTCATTGTATGACCGAAACTCAAACACGAAAGCTTTGTAAGTGTTACAGTGATTCAATTAAAAAAAAAGATTTGGAGCTCATGTTCTGCATATTGGAATCCTGGGTTCAGCCCCCAGCAGTACTTGTTTACCACAAGCACCACCTGGAGCAGCCCCCCAAGCTCTGCCAGGAGTGCCCCCTCAAAAAAAATGGACCAGAAGTTAGTATTTTATGCTCTATTAGATTTTCTAGAACTCACAAGAAAATATAACTAAAATCGATGTATTTGCTAACAAGATCAAAAGCCAAACACTAAGTAAAAATTTTGGAGTTGGGAAGATGGTTCAAGGGGCTGACGCACACGCTTTACACCCTGGGGCCCCAGGTTCAATTCCTTGCACCACATGGTGCCCCAAGAACCCCGCAGGGTGAACCCCAGAATACTGCACAGTATGGCAAAACCATGACAACCCCTCACACACACCACCACCACCACCACCACAGTTATTTGTGGGATGTTATGCTGTTTATTCCAGCCCTCCATATGGAAGGGAAAATTTCCAATCACCTAAGTCACTGACATAATTGTGAAATTTCTCTGGAATATTTAAAGTCTCTGCCTCTGGGGAATACAAGGCTAAAACCTGAGATTCTGTAGTCACTAACAAGGTCTCAGTGCAGAAATACAGGCAACATTATCTCTTGAGAAGTCAGAAGAGAGCTTCCTCCACTCCCATCTATTCCTGGTGAAACAGTGACAGTTCTATCTCAATCACCCGATGTCCTTCAGTGCAAAATCACTAGATTTATTAGTTAATAACTGAATGATCCATAAAAGATTCTGAAATTATGGAAGGGGAAAACATAATGGAAAAATACGCCTTTAGGTCTGAAATTGTGAGAAAATGGCTTCACTGTGAAAAATATCTTTGAAGCCACAAAAAGCTTCAGTTAGAATGTGATTTCCACAAATGATTAGAGATGTAACCTATGGAGGGGTATTTAAAGACACTTAGATACTTCCTAAGTCTCAGTTTCCTCATCTATAAAATGTACAAAATAATATCTGCCTCACAGTGGGTAGAGAATATAGAGGGATAACAATAAAGGAGACCCCCATATAAGAATACAGTACAGAGGCCTCCAAGGACAGAATTAACACCAGTGCATGACAGTTGATTTTAGAATACTCTGGGGGAGAATTTTGCTTTCATTCTTTTTTTTTTTTTTTTGCTTTTTGGATCACACTCGGTGATGCACAGGGGTTACTCCTGGCTCTGCACTTAGGAATTACTCCTGGCGGTGCTCAGGGAATCAGATGGGACCTTGAGAATCGAACCCGGGTTGGCTACATGCAAGTCAAATGCCCTGCCTGCTGTACTATCGCTCCAGCCCCAAGAATTTTTCTTAATAGTTTTTAGGTGTGTGAAAACAAATGCAACATACCCAGAAATAGTTAAATCCTGGTAAATGCAGGTATTAAAACAGAAGCTGGATGATCAACTAACTTTCAGGGATATTACAGAAATAATTCCTGTGCAAAGGAAAGGCAAATCATGAATCCTGAGGTCCTTCTGCTACTATAGTTCTACTTCAGACACTATTGTTTAATATCCGTAGGTTCTAAAAATGCAAAATGTAATGATCTTACAAAGAGGCTATTATCTTGATTAAAAAATAAAAAGACAACTATTAAATTCAGTTCACAAAGTCTCTGACTGCCACTGAAAAGTGGCTAAAATGTGGAACATTTTAGCACATCTGGAAAACCCTAAATCAACATCCCCGATTGAAAAATAGAGGTGGTTCTTTTGATTCGGCAGTTATTAACTCCCAACACAAAATTTAGAAAACAAAGTAAGATCTGTTTTGAGAACAAATCTAATGCAAGGTCACTCACACTCACTGTCT